GATGTGCTAATCCTCGAGCCAGATGAAAAACTTAGTTGCGAGCAAAATGATGAAAGTCACGATCCTGATGAGCAGCAGCAAAGTCCAACTGTTGATGGGCAGTGTCAAAGTGGTGACGAAGATGCTGAGGAGGAGCAGGTGACAGGTAAAAGAGGTCCAGGGAGACCACGAATTGTTCGCACTGGGCGTCTAGGTCGTCCACGAAAAGAGTACAATGTTCTGAATGTACTAGACGCTCGAAATGTTGTTGTTCCCACATGTGTTAGGGAGGCATTTCGGTCAGAACAATCTGAAAACTGGAAATCGGCGATGCAGAAGGAGTATGACAGCCTGAAAAACATTGAGACATGGAGTCTGGTCGATCTTCCTGCAGGCGAAAAAGTTATTGGTTGTAAATGGGTTTTTACCACCAAGCGTGATGAGTATGGCAACGTTCAGCGTTTTAAAGCTAGATTGGTCGCGAAAGGGTGCGGACAGCAATACGGAGTTAACTACACGGAAACGTTCTCTCCAGTTGCACGTTACTCCTCAATCAGATTAGTGATTGCGTTAGCTGTCGAGAACGAGATGCACCTGCATCAGATGGATGTCTCTGCAGCATACCTGAACAGCGAGCTACACGATGATGTGTATATGCGACAACCAGAGGGCTTTATCGACGCTGATCATCCCAAGCGCGTACTGAAGCTGAAGAAATCGTTGTACGGCTTGAAACAGAGCGGTCGGGAGTGGAACCAAAAGCTAGAGAGTACTCTTTTGGAGATTGGTTTCGTCCCATGTGCTAGTGAACCATGCATTTATACAAACAAGATCAAAGGGTATTTAAATATTATTGTTGTATATGTTGACGATTTTATACTAGCATGTACCAGAGAAGAAGATGTGGCCCACATTAAGCAGCTCATATCAAACAAATTCGATGTGGTCGATGGTGGTGAACTGCACTACTTTTTGGGAATGGAAATTGAGCGAGATGGCAAGACTGGTAGTCTCTCCATAGGCCATAAACAGTACATTGAAGAAGTACTAAATGATTACGGCATGCAAGACTGCAAGCAAAGCGCGACTCCGTTGGAAATTGGTTTCCAGATGAAGTGCGATGATGTTGACTGCGGCCAGGTGAATAAAACACGCTATCAATCGCTCATTGGTTCGCTATTGTATTTGGCGTTGACAACACGGCCAGATATAATACACTCTGTGGCCAAGCTGGCGCAGGGAAATGCAGATCCGCACAAGGAGCATGAGGTTGCAGCCAAACGGGTATTGAGATATCTAAAAGGTACCTCATATTTGAAACTACACTATAACAAAACGGGTGTGCCTATCCACTGTTATGTTGATGCAGACTGGGCTGGCGACAGTAACGATCGGAAGTCTTTTACGGGTTGGTCATTCTACCTTGCTGGAGCAGCAGTCTCTTGGGAATCAAAGAAGCAGAATTTGGTCGCCCTCAGTAGCACAGAGGCCGAGTATGTGGCACTTTCTACGGCAGCCAAGGAGGCGGTATACGTTAGAAAATTGATCAACGAAATGGAGCTCGGGCCGATGGCAAAGGTGCTGATTTATAGTGATAATCAGAGCGCACAATGCCTTGCTAAAGATGCAAAATTTCATTCGCGTAGCAAGCATATTGAAATAAAATACCATTTTGTAAGGGAAATGTACAAAAATAAAGTAATAGATATAAAGTACATTCCCACAGATGAAATGATATCAGATGTATTGACGAAGAATTTATGTAAAGTCAAACATGAGAAATTTACTGTAATGCTAGGATTAAAATGATACATTTTGTAATCATGATCGCATTGAGGAAGGGTGTTGAAGAATATCATCCGTTACAATGCGATATGATATATCGATAGAAAGTATGGTACATATAAGATGATAAGTACCACCTCTAAGTTTTAAGTCAGTCTCTAATAAACCTCTAAATTGAATACCTATGTTATTTCATCAATTTGTTGGGAAGGAGTGGCGCCATTGGCGAATGGTGCCATTTGTAAACTTGTAATTTCATTAGTTGCATCTGCCTTTGGCTATTGTTTTTAGCTTTATCCATTTGTATTTTTCATATTTTTTATTTTTAAATCACTTTTCCTACTTTTCTCACTGAGCAAAAAAATTCTTTTTTTCTGCTCATGGTTGGAAATTTTCTGTTGTTGCTTGTGTGTGCGCACATAACATATATTATATAGTTTCCTCGTAGTTTTTTGTGGCTCGCACGCGACAATTATGCATATTTATAAGTATAAATAAACCAACACGCACACACACGCGCACTGCGCACACACGCACTCACACACCGCAAGCGAGCCTTTGGTCAACGAAGCGTATGCGCAATATTTTTTATTCCTTTTTTTTTGTGATTTATTGTTACTGAAATGGTTTGGCTTATTTTTTACATGACTTTGATGGCAGCCATAAAAAGTACTTGAAAGTTAATAAACTAAATTTAAAATTATTTTTATTAAATTTAATTAAAATCTTTAAAAACATAAGAGTTTACTCTAATTAAAAATAAATGAATATTATATCAGCAGTGTTAAATTTTTTATTAGTTTTACATCTGCTGAGCTCAAAGTCCAATGCAAATTTAGTTCAGCACGTATTTTGTTTTTATTTTTCCTTTTGCTTATATAATAAGTAAAAAGTAAACAAAAACCTGACGAAAAGTGAAATTTGAGCGAGCTGTATGTGTGTGGGTGGTTTTTAATGTATAATATATATTTATAATTATGTATATATTTATATATGTATATATATATATATATATATATATATATATATATGTGCATTAAGTGCTACTCAAGTCAGCTCTTAGAGCACATCAAGTGCTCTTGGGCATAAATTAAAAATGAAATAAAATGTAATTAAAAAGAAATTCAATTCAAGCAAAAAAAACTTTGTTGAGCAGCTGTCAAAGAAGCGCAAAGGCAACATTGAAATATGTAAGACCCAGCCATGAGCTGTCAATATGTCATATATTTATAGACGTTGAGATTGTTGAGAGATGAATTTAAGATATTAATAAAATATATTAATATTTAATTCTGGTATTTATGATCCATTCCGTAAGATATTGCATAGCTAGCAAATATTTTAAAGAGTGGTTTTTCCTAGTCTTGTTGCAGTTCATGAGAATTGCATACAGAGGCGAACCCTATTAAATACCCATTGGGTCTTCTACCACTTAAAATTCCTTATGTATTTGAAAAAAAAAAAAAACAATTGAAACAATTATACGTTTTGTGCAGCATTTGCAAAAACTTTAAACAATTCGCCGTCATTAAGCTCTGAACTTTTTTTATGGGTCTTTACATTGATGCCTGCGGCTAGACCCTCTTTTCGATGGCTTTTAGCAATATGCAAATGACGTTTTGCTTTTTGTTTGCTTCTTTTTCTTTCGTTTTTCAATTTGCTCCGCGAATTTTGCACAATTTGCTTTGCGGCTTTTGTGCAAGTTTTTATAAGATTTTTCTTGAGTTTTGTTTATTTTTGTCTTTTGCTTCGGTTGCTTTTGCAGCTGGTTCTCCGCTGTTACTGTTACTGTTATTGTTAACTGTTACTGTTATTATTTTTGCACGCCTTGCTGCTTTCTCTGATGACATTTCGCTCGTCGACACGCAGTCAGCCTGTCAACAATCTCAACTCTATCTATCCAGCTGTAAATATTTATCTATATATATTTTGTGTGTCTATTTGCATTTGTGTAATAATTTTTTTTGGCTGTTCTTCTTGTTCAATTGCTTGAAATATTTATTATATATTGTGTCAATATGCGCAGCAAACGTTGTGCAACACATTTTCATCGATTTGAATACCCTGTAGCAATGGTAACAACGTTGATGGGGTATCATACACCATGAGATTCTATGGCTCTCTGCATCAGTTGCTAACCATTCACTGCATATCCAATGACTAACTTGCGTAATCTTTTCTTATTAATCAACTAATATCAAATAATAGATATACTTTGTTAATATTATTAACTGAACTATAAGACATCCCTTCCAATCGCAGCTTTTGCTATTTAAATCAAATTTATTAACACATTTCATGTTTGCTTTTCGAATTCTGTATATATGTATCTGCAAGATACATTCGTATACACATTTTTGTTGACGAGCTGACAGTTAGCTATTGCCACAAACTCATTAGAATTGCGGTTTGACAGGAGACTGGGCTAGAGGTGGTGTATGGATTCCAGTTGGTTGTGCTGCGGTAACTGTCAATTATAATGCTCATAATGTTGCTGACAATTGCAGTAATGATAATAATGTTATTATGAATGTGACTAATGATTGGGAGATATGCAGGATTTCAAATAAAAAACCTAAAATTGTAAAATGAAACTATTAAAAAGCAGAGAAAAATTTTAAAAATTATTTTAATGCATTAATTAATTATACTTTAAAATATAAAATATTTTTTAAAACTTTTTTATTACATTTTTTATATAAAATATAAAAAATATTTTTACGATTTTTTATATTTTTTAATTTCACTTTAGTTGCTTAAATACTTTATAATTGCAAATTATTTAGTTTTTGTCTATAAAAGCTGTAGATAAATGTTTTTAAATGTTACTTAAAGTTAACCCTTAAATAAAATTTTTTAAAATTTAAGCAAGTTTGAGATAAAATTAAGCAGACCTTAAAAATTAGTTATTACCAATTAAAATAATCACATTTTAATTGACTATAACATATATATGGATATAAATAATTAGGTAAAATGTAAAATGAATATTATCAAATATAAGAATATATAATTTGCAAATTGGCTGTGTATATATAGTAGCTGTCTTTAAACGCTAATTATGATGCACAATTGAAGCTTTTAATTCGATTTAATTGAATGGCATTGTTACGGCACAGCGAACTTCACGCTCAGTGCCCAACTATTACGCCAGTTATAATGGAATGCATGCAATTGTTACCAGGCTTAATCGTATACTTTATGCATAACACTCTCGAATCTCCATTTAATTGCAGTCTATCCAATGTGCGTATCGTGCTGCTGGTCCGAGATCCGCGTGGCACAATGCAGTCGCGTCGTCATCGCGTCTGGTGTGCGGGCAACGAGGACTGCGAGGATCCCGCGCTGGTCTGTCAAGATCTGGTCGATGACTACAAGACGGCGGAGAAACTGCTGAAAGCATATCCGGGACGTTTTAGGTGAGCTAACTTTGTATACTCATTAAAAAGTGGGTGAGTTGGGTATATTGAATTGTGTTAAAAGATGAAGAAGACGTGAATGAAGTCACATCAAGTCAGTCTCATCCGTCTGTCTGTGCTTATGTATCGATTTCGACTCTGGCAGTTTGTCCTAATTCTCATATATACAATAATTTAAAAGAAATGTAATATATTTATTATAGAATTTAATATTTTCAAGCATTATGTTTTATAATTATTTTTGCTTTGCTTTGTTTTCCGATAGAACTTTGCGCTATGAGGATCTCTCGCTGAATCCGTATGATGTGACCCAGGACATTTTACAGTTCTACGGCCTGCCCTTTGATCCAGCTGTCGAAGAGTTTCTAGATACGCACACCAAGGAGAACAAGGGCGGCGTTAGCTCCACATATCGTGATTCTAGATCGGCGCCATTCCATTGGAAGCAGGATCTCAAGGCTGAAGAGGTAAGTGCTGCTAATAAAACATATACTGATTGAAAAGATTAAATATATATATATCGATTTCTGGCCACGTTTGCAGATCAAACAAATTCAGGATGTCTGCACGGAGGCCATGGATCTGTGGGGCTATCGGCGCATGGCGAACTTCAGTAATTTTTCGATGCTGCAGCAGAGCTTCGATCCGATTGTGCTGCCGCCACCATTTACGTGAATCGATTTGTGGCTATCGATAACTGATAACGATAACTAATTCTTCTACTTGGTACATTTTGTTGTGATATCGTCGTGTTGAGCGAGCAAAACAGAAAAGAAACAAAATTTAGAAAAAAGCAAAAGTCGATTTATAGCTGGCGCGTTAATTAATTTAATATCTTAATTTATTTAATTTTGTTCATTTTTTGTCTCTTTTTTTGCTGTTGCTAAACACACAAGACACACTTACTGAGCAATAGTTAATGATATACCACATACGATATACTATATACACATTTACAATATATATTTAATATATATATATATATCTAAAATTACGATAATTGTATAATTTTAGTAATTGGCGAATTTTGTGTAGATCGAATATCACATTTCTATATATATATAGATATATTTAAACTTAGGCATAGCATTTAAGCGAACAATAACTGAGAAAATAGTCTATAGCACTAGCTGGCAACTGCAAAAATTAAATTAAATAATTACAAAATATATAAAAAGTAAATAATTAAGCTTAACTCCATGTAAATTATTTAGGCAAAAAACAATTTTTGTAATTTTCTGCTTTAAAAAAATAAACTGAAATAATTAAAAACTTCAATAGAAAATGCATAGGAAAATCCAGTGATTTAGTAATTAAATACAAGAAGAAGAAGAAAAAACGTATCAACAGTAATTAAAAATGAAAAGAAAATCAACTTTAAAAAAAATTTAGGAAAAAAAACAAATCGTTGTGCAATAACAAGCAAGAACAAAATAAACTAAATCAAAATCGAATAAATTAGGAAACTTATAAAACACATAATGCGTAAAATCAATTTAGATGTGAAATAATTAATTAATCAATCGTATTACATAGAAAAGTGTATAAGCAATGGGCACTCGACTCCTAAGCCTAACCCTAAGTTTTAGTGTACATTATTTTAATATGGAAATTTAATAATAATTAATACATACATATACATACATATATATTTACGGTTATTTAGTTGTAATTTAATTGTAATTTATATGTACCATATACAATTTTTTGTCCAATCATTTATTTCTTACCAACTAAGTTGAGCTCGTTTCAAAATGCATTTTTCATTGCAAAATAAAACAACAACAAACCCAGCAAAAGCCCAGCAAAGTGCGTTAAGTAAACTAATAAATAAAAACTAAATAAACTGTTTTATTTGATGAACAAATTCGGCAATATTTGCATATACAAAACAAATAATATAATTTAGCAATCGAATAAAGAATAAAAACATTAAATATTCCTTACAAAAAATGAATTGTGTTTTTATTAATATATTCATAAAGAAGAGGCAATTCAATTTTTCCATTTCATTTTAAATTTATGCTAAAGTAGTATATAATTTTCTTTTTGAACTGCTAAATATTTTTTATTATAAATTTCCCAATTTAAATTGCAAATTAATATAATTTGAATTGCTTTTATTTTCTATTAACTTATTATTTTTATATATATTTATTTTTAAGTTTATTTTTATTTGCAATCCCACAGTTCTAATTCCTATGCCTCGTAACTGCCAAAAGTTCCGGAAGCTTTTACAGGGCAGTTTTTTTTGCCGCTACTGTGCTTTGCTTAACTACTAACTACGCTTGCGTAAAGCTTGTAGAGCTTTTAACAGCAAATAATTTAGACTCAAACCGTTCGTCTGTTACTTACTATCCAGTTTTTGTGGATTTTGTTTTAAAGTAAAATAATATCATTGAAATATTCAAAGTAAAACTCACCTGAAAGGTTGTTTTAAACTTAAATTTTATTTAATAGAACTATGTGTATTATAATATTTATATATTATTTATTATTTTTCGTTTTCAAATTATATTTCTTTTTATTATGAAATAATATGTAAATCTATTATTTTTATAGAATCCATTGAAACTGTCTTTTGTTCATTGTTATTTGGTCCATTATAGACATAAATATACTTTCTGTATTGAGTACTATTTGTATTCTAATTAATAAGTCTTATCAATATTAATATATATATATTGATTTATTTTATTTTAAAGTTTTATTTATATTATTTCTTTTGCACTTTAACATATTTTTTCAGGGCAATTGGATTTTGATTCCAAATATGTAGTTCAAAAACTCTATAACGATGACAATATTTTATATCCATATCAAGCAGTTTTTGGAAACTTAGAACACTTAAGATTGAATAAATTACATATGACATAAACTACTAAAATTTCCATTTCTATAATTATTTTATATAAATTATAGTATATATTTTAGTAATATATTATATTATTTATATTTTTATTTCTTATTTTCTTTTCATTGATTACATTTTGTGTTTACTCTACATCACAACAATTAAATTAAAAATGTACTTATATATTACATTAAAATTCGTGTTAAGCAGAAAAGGCAATGAAGCTAAACACATCAAATTAACTTTCCACTACAGCTACACACTGCGTATTCGTAATATTTGAATTATGATTCAGATTTACATCTCCCATTCACTCTCTCCCTCTCTCCCTCCTTCTGTTGTTAGCTTAGCACAATGGGATTAACTTACATTTTAAGTGATTAAATCAAATGTCAAATGTCAACTGAGAGATGAAAATGAGAAATGTAAATGCAGCTGCTAAAAGAAGAAATTTGATCTGCACCTTTGAAACGTCACATTCGTTAGTAAAAACGGGGAGGCAGGGAAAAACTAAAAGATGATTAAACAAAAAAAATGTCCATATGTGGATGCGATATAATTTACCGTTTTTGATTAGCTTTCAACCCTCTTGCGGTTGGTAAATCCAAAAAGGTGTCCAAAAAAGGCAAAAAATTAAGCGCCGCCCACAAAATGCGTGTGCGTACGCAAGGAAGAAGAAGCAGCAGTCGACAACAACAAGAACAATAGCCAAAATTGAAAGCCAGCGAATGGCAGGCAACTAGAAGAGCTTTTCAATCAGCGCGACCTCGCCGCGCTGACGTCACGCGCTTATATTGCTCTGCACTGCGTGGGCGAGTCCCAAGAGCTTTTTAACGTATCCGAGACGCAAACCAAACGTAAAGTAATGCCGGCCTGCAGCTTTCATTGAATTGCACGCAACAGGAGCAAGCGACGCGACCGATGTTCAAATTGAAACAGTTTGCCGACTGTTCGGCGCTCGGCACTCGGCATTCGGCAGCGAAGTCGTCGCGTATAAAACAAGTCGTCGTCGTCGTTATTGTTGCATTCGTTTCGTGCGCGTCGAACCAGTCAACCAACCAACCCAACCAGCGCTCTACGCCAACTAACGGTTAAAGAACTTAGTTTTTGAAATCAAGCAAGCAAAAAAACTTTTGATCTCTCTCGTGCTAGTTCGATTGTTTCTCTGATAAGACAAAAAAGAGTTTCAACAATATTTCGCGATTTTCTGCTGTAATTTAATTGGCAAAGTTTTTTGAAAGTCACTTTTTACGCTAGTTTTTCGTCTGTGCGAGTTTTCAAACATTGACTGACAAAATTCGGTTACATTTAGAATTTCCAGTGCAGATAAGAAAGACAAAAACAAATTGAAGTTTATCAATTCGCCGCATCGCGCTGTAAACGGTAAACGCGCGTTAATCTAATTTGTATTTAATCTATTTGCCATCGCAGCAACAGCCAGGTGAGTTTGCATTGGGTTTCTTTTATGACCGTTTAAAGCACTTTTTATATAAAAGCCATTAAATTTGACAAAAATTGATTCTAAAAAATTGATCGAAAAATTTATGCTACGAGTATATTGAATAATCTATCAAAAATGTGGGTTTTTAATATATTTTAATGCTCTTTTTTGAAATAAAAAGAGTTTATCGGTTTGCTGAAATGTTAATTATATTAAAATTTGAGATTAGTTATATATATTCAGATTAAAAAATCTATTTTAATATATGCTCTTCTTATTGGTTCTGTTGCAAGTCTTCCATAATCATAGAAGCGTAAAAAAAGATGAACCATTTTAAGCTATTCTATAGATAGACCTTCGCTTCATCCATTGGTTTGTCGTAAATTATTGAGTTTTTAATAATAAAGTGTTTTTGAACTGTGAATTCATATCGATTGTAACTTGCCTATTCCACTTTTTCTTTTATCTATGAATTTCAAACAAGCATTTTCTTCATATTTGATTGTATCGTATAGAATAAGTAATATCTTTTAAAATATATTGATTTATTTTGATTTTCTTAAAATTTCAATATTAGAAACAAATAAAGCGATAAACATTTTTGCAGCCGAAATATTGCCTGAAGGTTGTCTAACAGATATATTTTTTGCTTGAAATATATCAAATTTTTCTCTAATGATAATCATAAAATCAATCATAAAAGATAAGTTTTCAAAGAATATATTTAATATTAAAAAAGATGCTAAATAAAATCTTTTTAGCATAAAAATCTTGGTTTAATTCAATATTTAAGAAAACTGAATTATTGGTAGTTTTTTAGATGCTATATAGAGAAAAACTCTATAAACCATTTGCAATATAGGTAATATGATATCTTTATAGTTTCCATAATCTTATATAGACTTATAAATGTAGATTCTATTAAAAATTAAAACATAATTTATAAGCTACTATACAATTTGATTGTAATTCATTTCTTGTCAAGAAATATGCCTAATCCCAATTCTAATAACCCTTTCTTCAGCTCTGTAGAAAAGTAAGCCCGCAAATTCTCAGACATTTTCCATTCGAATTGAGGCATTCAAAAAGTAATAGCAAATGTTTAATAATCACAAAACAATTGTAAAACTTTCTAAATACATGACATGTTCGACTCCCTTTCACTCCCTTCCCCTCCTAACAATCTCTCTCGCTCTGTCTGCCTGTCTGGTTTTAATGTCAGGCATAGGCCCACATCAAATTTACATCGACAACAACTTTTGGGCGGGCCGCTCATAATATATCAATAATTGTCAATCAATTTTTTATACTCGTTTGTTTGTCCTCGCCCAGCGACAAACCTTTGAGTCCTGAGTCTAAGAAACTCGAGTCCTTGTCTGACTTTTCAAATATTTACCTATTTTAAAGTTACCAAACGATGGGCTATACTTGATGTGGAATTGTTCTTTAATTCGATTTGTTTGATAAGTTCTATTTGATATGAGCTTGAGTTGGGAGAGACTTAAGACTTTTGTGGGGTGTAGCTAAGGCAT